GGCCTGCTGTGTTCATCCAGCTCTACACTTTGTTATCTCAGATTCTCCAGCATCTGCAGTTCCTACTATCTCTGCATATCACTGATGTTGGGTTGATAACATGAGTGAGAAGCAGGCTGAACAGAAAATTCAGAGGGGAAATGACAAAAATAGATGAGAAAAACAGAGTTAAGAAGACATGCTAGCTAACAAAAGGGAATCTAAAGGTTGATTGGCATATTAATAATAAAAAATAGAGTAAAAGGAGGAATGAGGCCAATTACAAACCAAAAAGGAGATTTATCCATGGACTTGAGGTCATGGCTGAGGTCTCAATTGGGTAGTTTTGAGAAGTTGCTGCTCACATCTTTGTCAGAGAAGAGCTAGTTGAGACATTGGGTGGTCTAAAAATTGTTTAAGAGAAATATTGGATATGCAGGCTTTGTTTCAAGTCACTGGGGTCTTGGGTGTCTCAAAAGTATGGAAGAAAGTAAGGATAGAAATTGTGGAGGCACTGGTCATAATCTTCCATTCTTGCATAGATACTAGGGTGGTGCCAGAGGATTGGAAAATTGCAAGTGTTACACCTTTATTCAAAACAGGATGTAGTAATACCCCAGCAACTGCAGGGCAGTTAGTTAAGCTTGGTGGTGGGAGCGCTTTTAGAAATGATAATACAGGACAAAATTAAGTCACTTGAACAAATGTGGATTAATTAAGGAAAGTTGGGGTTGAATTGTTTAAGGTAAATTTATGTTTTAATAACTTGTTGGACTCTTTGAACTAACAAGAAGGGTTAATATGGTTGACGTGGTATATGTTGTCTTCCAAAAAAGTATTTGATAAAGTACCACCTAACAAGCTTGCCGGCAAAGTTGAAGCTGTGGAATAAAAGAGATGGTAGCAATTTGGATTTAAAATTCCTGAATGATAGTAAACATTGTAGTAGCAAGTGGTTTATGAACTGTATGAAGATCAACTGTGCCCGTGGGTTGGTGCCAGGACCATTTGTTTTCCTGATCTAGTTTAATGATAAGGGAGGTGGAGGCAAAGTAATGATGTCACTGGTCTATTATCTATAGAAATAGGCTATTGTGCTGGCGACGTAAATTCAAATCCCATTGTGGCAAATGGTGAAACTTAAATTCAATAAAAATCTGAAATTAAAAATCTCTAATCTTATGGTGACTATGTTACCATTGTTGATTGTCATAAAAATAAATCTGGCTCACTAATGTCCTTTTGAAAAGGAAATCTGTCTTCCTTACCAGGACTGCCTATATATTTGACTATAGATCTGTAGCAATGTGATTTGACAGTTGACTCTTAACTGCCTTCTGAAATGTCTTAGCAGGTCATTCAGTTCATGTGTAGTTGGGGATGACTCCAATATTCTGAATTTTTTTTCAAATAAGCTTAGGTTTCCATGACACAATTTTCCAATTTGTAGATGGCACGAAACATAGGCTGAAGGAATGGGCAGACACATTGTAATTGTATCATGTAAGTTGAATTTAGAAAGTATGAAGTCATTCATTTTGGTATGACCAAAGAGATTTGATAGGGAAAAAAAGGGAGAGGCAGTATAAAACGATGCAATTCTATAGGGTTGCATGAACAGAGGGACTTGGTGTTATATGTGCACTGATTGTTCAAGGTTGCTGGGATGGTTGACCAAGTAGTTAATAAGGTGTATAGGATCCTGGGCTTTATCAGTAGAAGAATAGAATACAAAAACAACACTGTTATGTGAACCATTATAAAACATTGATTCAGCCTCAAGTATTGTGTCTTATTCAGCACGCTACGCTTTAGGAATGTTGCAAAATCATTGGAGAGGGTGTAGAGAAAAGTTGATTGTGTGGATCCAAGAATGAGTAACGTCAGTTACGTGGGTCGATTGGAGAAGTTGACTATCTCCATCTGGAAGAGAATATTCAGAGGTGCTCAAAAACATGAGCAGTTTTGACTTGGAAGGAAACTGTCGTCAGTGGGTGAATGGTTGAGAGGCAGTGGATGCAAATTTAAGATGACTGACCAGAGAATCAAAGTCAAAGGAGAAAAATTGTTGTGCAGCATATGGTGAGGATCTGGAATATACTGCATGAACTTGGTGGTGGTAGACTCAATCGTGGATTTCAAAAAGGATTTGGATAATTAGCTAAAGGAAACTTACAGGCCTGTTGTGAAAAGGTGGGGATTGGACAGGTTGAATTATTTTGCATAAAGTCTGCTTACATACAATGGGACCGTTGGCCTTCCGTGTTGTAAACATTCTAAGATTGGATGATTGATAATAGCTTAGTGTAAGCTTTCACGCTATTGCTAATGCTTATTTTTAAATTTTCAGATGTGAACAACTGGAAAGAGCTTTAACTGAAGCTGGTAATCGAATTCGAGATTTGGAGAACAAGAACTACTTAATGGAAATGCAGTTGGTGAGTAGCAGTCCTTGAATAATGGAAAGAAAGATTGTGTATAAATTGGTGCAAGTGTTGCAGTCAGAAATTTTGAGAATGCTGACCTTGGTTTTAAGTGAAGACTATGCAGTTAGTTAGATAATTCTGTAGCACATGGTTAAAAGCTGGATAGTATTTAAAGCACTTATAACATTTGTACTAAATACAACAATATCTTGATAGTTTGTTTATTTATTCACTTAACCTTTTCTTACTATTCAAGATTACTCTTGTGTTTTTTGGTTAGATTGATTGGCCAGTGCGCTATGATGCAGTTAGTGCCACAGCTAATGCATTACAACAGCGTCTTGATGAAATGCGAAAAGACAACAAGGAGAAGGATAACATAGTCAACAAACTCAATAGCAGGCTGAAAGATCTAGAAGAGGCCTTTGAAAAAGCTTACAAACATTCTGATAATAAAGACGCCAGAATGAAACAAGAACACAAAATATTACAGAATGTGAGTTCTGAATTTTCTTTTAAATGAAGTTGGCTTAAAAGAATAGTGGAACCAATATTTGTACTTGTTGGTTCCTCTTGTTTCTTTTTTCTGTCTAGGAATGGTCATTCTTTCATAAATAAACTTTCTAAGTATAGTGTTTTAAGTTTTGGTTCAGATGTAAAAGCTAGTCTCCCCTTCTCTGTTGCAGCTACTTATAGAATACGAGTCACTGGGAAAAGAACACGAACAAGTAAAGGTAATTTCACATTCACTCAGAGTTTTGCAGGCTGCCATAAAAGTCATTGTTTATTGCTATAAATCATAGTTGATTATCCTGACATGGAACATATAAATGTTGACTCAATTTTTGTATTGTCTGTATACTTTTTCTTTTTAACTAGGAAACTTTGAGTACAACAGAAGATAAACTAATTGATGCAAATTCTCAAATCTCCGAGTTGAAAAGGTTAGACAATCGGATCTTGATTTTGTTACATAATGCTGTAAAACTTCTTGAGAAACATAATATGGGTTTTTCTTCAATATAGTTTTGAAGGTGAGCATATACACTTGGCTGCAATGATATTTGGAAATTTATGTTCAATTAAGATCAGGTCATAGAATTCATCATCATCCCGGATGTCCCTTGGTTTGCGGCCAAAGCATGGTCTGATGAGGATATTGGGAGGTTACAAAGGGTTGCAAACTGGTTAATTGAGTGGGCAAAGATGTGGCAAATGGAGTGTAATGTAATAAAATGTGAATTGCCAATTTTGGCAGGAATCTTTTTAAAAGAAATGTATTATCTAATTGGTGAGAGATTGTAGAACTCTGAGGAGTGGAGATCTGGGTGACATGGTGCATTATTGCCAAAGTTTTTAGTATGCAGGTACAGTAAGTAATCATGAAAAAAAAAAAATAGAATTTTGGCCAATATTGTGAAGCAAATCGAATACAAAAGTAAGGGAGGTTATGCTTAAGTTCTACAGAGCATTGGTGAGGTCACTTCTGGAATACTGTGCACGGTCTCCTTATTTAAGAAAGGATTTAAATGCATTAGAAGCCATTCAGACTAATGCCCAGAGCAGGTGTTTTGTCTTGAGAGGGAATGTTGAACAGTCTAGGCTTGTACTATTGAGTTTAGGAGAGTAAGAGGTGACTTGATTGAAATGTACAAAATCCTGAGGGGTCTTGACAGGGTAAATGTGAAAATGATACTTGTTCTTGTGGGAGAATCTAGAACTAGAGGTCTAAAAATAAGTGGTCACCTTTTCTTGAGATGGAGTGCCTTGAGCCTCTGGAATTCTCTTGCTTCAAAGGTGGTGAACGCAGAGTCTGAACAACTCTCACTGTAATCCTGCATTTCCCACAGCCAATGAGAAAACTCATGCAGACATGGGGAGAATGTGCAAACGCCACACAGGCAGGTGACCGAGGGTGAAATCGATCCCTGGTCCCTGGAGATGTGAGACAGCAGTGCTGACCACTGAGTCACTGTGCTACCCTGTTGAGATGTTGGGGAAATCAATAAGCAAATTTCAGAAAGATAAGGTTTGTCACAACATTGTACATGAGTTTTAAGAGAAAAAATACAAATTCCAAAACAATAAAGTGGTCATTAAATCAGTAATTAACAAACTATTAAAGAAGACCTAAGCAGCAGAACTAACTGAAAATCTTTTCTTGCCTTTTTGATTAAGTGGCAGAATTGGAGAGAAAAGGACTTGGCCTTAAGTACTGATAAAAACGTAGAAAATAGGAGCAAGAGTAGGTCATTCTGTCCTCTGACACCATTCAATATGACTATGGCTGATTGTCCAATTCAGAATCCTGTCCCTGCCTCCTCCCCATACCCGTCTAATCTCTTTAGCTCAAGAGCTATATCCGAGTCTTTGAAAACGCTCAGTATTTTGGCCTCCATCACTTTTTCTATGGTAGAGAATTCCACAGGCTTGTCACTCTCTCTGGGTGACAAAACATCTCCAGGAGCAGATCACCAGGGAGGTGGTGGGGACTGGCCTGAACTAAGATGTTGGATTTAACAGTCACTGACTTTGATCCATCTCTGGAGCATGTTTCAAGCTGGCTTGAAATAATAAAAAGTTACCTGGCTGCTGTACTCTTTTTAAACAAGAAGTAAACGGAAAGCAAAATCCTCTTGACACCGGCTCCATTAAACACTCCTGGGACAGGGACAACAAGAGGTTAAAATACAGAGTAAGGTTTCCTCTACTCACCGGAACTAAAAGTAAAGTCCGGAGGGTTGGAACCTATGAAATGTGTATATTTGTTGGACATGATCTGGTACTGGAATTCTGAATTGTTTTGAATGGAACTTTGATTAGATAACAATACTAAAGAGAATGGGAACTGAGCAGAAGAGTGAAGTTAGGGAAGGCTGTTCATGGAGGAAACTGCAGTCAAGTCATTGAACTGTACGGCCTGATTCCATACTTGAATAGTTTATGAACTAAGTTTGAATGCTGTGATTTTAAAATGCAGAATTTCTTGTTATTATTTTATACCTTTATTATTTTCTAATCTTTAAACATACTGTACTTCAAAATTTAAATAAGTGAAACTATAAATTTTGGATTTGCATGTGTACTTCCTTGATCCTCCTGGTTTCTCATTTTTTGCTGTTGTTATTTTTTGTCAAATAGTCTGTCCAAAATTAATTTTGGTGTTCCAGCATTTCTAATTTCCTATTTTCTGCCAACATTTTGTTTTAGTCAACATTGTTAAACAATTGGTTGCGAATCAGGAGAGAGTGCAAAAGTTGAGCAGTTCCCATTGGGGATGGCAACATTAATAGTTTTCCCTACTTTTTTGGCAGTAGCTTCTAATGGTCAGTCTGTCATTTAAGAGTCCTGTTCATTTCAATATCTAAATTTTTAGATAGAAACAGAAAATACTGGAAAAATCCAGGTGATCTGCCAGCATCAAAGAAAGAAAGAAAGATGTAATGTTTTGGGTCTGTGAATTTTTATCCGAACTGCTTCAGTATTTGAGGCTGTGTTTGTTTTGTTTTTGAATATTAACATATAAGCTACATTTTGAGTTCGTGATTTTACCTTACTAGTCGTGACATCATTCACCCTTGCATTTCAGGGTTGTTTCTAAACTTGAAGCTCAAATTCGACAAGTGGAACATGAAAGAAACTATGTGAAGGTCCGATCTGGTGCACACTGCTGTTCACGGACATCAAGCAGTAGGTAAAAACATTTTATGTAAAGCGGCACTAACCCATTCCACTAATTGTTTTAACAGAAATATAGAGGGGAAAAATAAAGACATGTTCTTGAAGCTTTACATTGTGTACATAAAGGAACAGACACAAAAATGTCACATTTCAAAGGGAACAACAGTTGTACTGCGTCCGAATAGGGTGCTGATTGATTGACAAGTTGAGCCAATTAAACAAAAACTGGGCGCAACTTTCCTTTTAAGCTGTGCATGTGCTATGTATAGCTACGTATTTTACTTTTTTAATAGTAGAAAATGGGTGCCATTGGTTTGTTCTATAGTGTTAAACTCTTTGAATTGAGCATCACTTTGCGTGGCATTAGATTCACACTCTTGCAATCTGATGCATTTGCTGCCAGAGAATACTGTGAACTGAGAGGACGTGTGATTCTTTTTATTTGACTTTTTAGTTCCTTTGAGCCTGCTTCCTGGCCAGCTATGCTTTTTATTTTTGCTCATTCCTTGCAATGCTGTGCCAAATCGTCAGTCTCTAGAGGTGATGGCCATCAGTTACAGATCTCCCATTTGTCAGTGACAACACAGTGTGGAGCTGGAGGAACTCGGCAGGCCAGGCAGCATCAGAGGAGCAGGAAAGTTGACACTTTGGCTCAGGACCCTTCTTCAGAAATGAGGAGGGGGATGGGAGCTGGGAAATAAACTGAGAGAAGAGGGTGTGGGATTGGGGAAAGATAGGTGAGATGATGATAGGTGGATATCAGTAAGAAGTGGTGGGGATTGGTCAGAGGGATGGGTGGAGCTGATAGGTGGGAGAGAAGATGGACAGGCTGTGTCGGGTCATAACCTCACAGCCTCCAATGTCATCATTCCCCAACCCTGCACCACCTGTTTCTATCTCCTTCCTAAAATCCACAAACCTGACTGCCCCAGCCAACCCATTGTCTCTGCATGCTCCTGCCCCACTGAACTCCTGTCCGCTTACCTTGACTCAGTCTCTTGCCCCCAGGTCCAGGAACTCCCCACCTACATCCAGGACACCACTGTCCAATTCATCCAATTTCCTGGATCCCAAAAACCTCATCTTCATTACGATCATCCAATCCCTGTACACTTGTATCCCCCACGCAGATGGCCTAAAAGCCCTCTGCTTCTTCTTCCACTCCCTCAGGCCCAACCAGTCCCCCTCCACCAACACCTTCATCCGCTTAACAGAACTTGTCCTTACTCTGAACAACTTCTCCTTTAACTCTTGCCACTCCCTACAAACTAAGGAGGTGACCATGGGCAACCATATGGATCCGAGCTATGCACTTCGTAGGATACGTGGAACAGTCTCTTTTCTGCTCCACGCAGCACCATCCCTCACCTCTTCCTCCGCTACATTGATGACTGTATCGGTGCTACCTCATGCTCCCACAAGGAGCTTGAACAGTTTATCAACTTTACAAACACCTTTTCACCCCAACCTCAAGTTCACCTGGACCATCTCTGATACCACCCTTCCCTTCATGGACCTCTATGTCTCCATCTCTGGTAACCGCCTCAGCACTGACGTCTATTTCAAGCCCACCGACTCCCATAGCTACCTGGTCTACACCTCCTCTCACCCACCGTCCCACAAGAATGCAATCCCCTACTCCCAATTCCTCCACCTCCGCCGCATCTGATCCCAAGATGGAGCATTTCACTCCTGAGCATCCCAGATGTCGTCCTATTTCAAGGACTGCAGCTTCCCCCTCTGGTGATCAAAAATGCCCTCAACTGCATCTCTTGCATTTCCTGCACTTCTGCCCTCAAAACCCTTCCCTCCAACAAAAATAAAGACAGAATTCTCCTGGTCCACGCATATCACCCCACCAACCTCCACATCCAGCGTATCGTTCTCTGCCACTTCGACCACCTACAATCCGACCCCACGACCAAAGAGGTACTTCCGTCCTCACCCCTATCCCCCTTTTCGTAGGGACCACTCACTCCGTAACTCCCTTGTCCGCTCCACACTCCTTGCTAACCCCACCACACCCACACCACAGTAGACCAGGTTGGAGGTCCTCTGATGCTGCCTGGCCTCCTGTGTTCCTCCAGCTCCACACTGTGTTGTCTCTGACTCCAGCATCTGCAATTCTTGCTATCTCCCATTTGTCAGTGCCTGGCATCTTTGCATTACATTTATTGCTGTCCTTGTAACAGAAGTACGGTTGCCTAGGGGTTGTGATCCAGTATCCAGTTCAATGTGTGTAAGTTTGATGGATCAATGGCTATCGTCCTAACCAACACAAGCATGACATATCAGTGAATGTATGGTAACGGAATTGATGTGCTCTAGGACCTCCTCAGTTGGTGACCTTTGTCTTGACATCTTGGCTTAGCTTGACAAGTTTGTGACAATGGAGTTGCATTTGTTTGGCCTTTTCTCCAGCCTACCATATGTTGGCCAAGGTGTTGTCACTTAGAGGATTGCACAGAGAATGAGATTTGGTAGACTTGCAGTTTGGTGTTCTCACAGGTTACTGTTACTCTGTACCATTCTACTCAACATAGACATAACAGCTGCAGCTTTTGTGACGTGTGGGCTATTACTGGTGATTGCAGAACCTTGATGTGTAAAGTTACAAAAAGGCATCTAAATGATTTGGATGAAGGGACCAAAGCTATAGTAGCTAGATTTTCTGATGATAAATGACAGATAAAAAAGTGAATTATGAAGAGGACATAAGAAGCCTATAAAGGGACGTAGATAGGTTAAGAGTGTGCAATGGGAGTACAATGTGGAAATGTATGAAATTGTCCATTATGGTGGAGAGAATAGAAAAGAAGCATGATATAGCAAAACAGAAACAAGAGTAGCCCATTCAGCTCCTTGAGCCTCTTCCACCAATCAATGAGACAATGGCTGATTTGTAGCCTAACTCCATATACCTGCCTTTGGCCCATACTTCTTAATACCTTTGTTAACAAAAATTATCTATCTCATTTAAAATTAACAACAGATTCAGCATCCACTGCTATTTGTGGAAGGGAGTTCCTAACATCTATCAGCCCCTGTATGTAGAAGTTCTTCCTAACAGCTGTCCTGAACAGTCTGACCCTAATTCTCAGACTCTTGATACCTAGTTCCAGAATCCCCCAACCAGTGGAAGAAGTTTCTTTATCTACCCTGTCCCCCCTTAACCTTCTAAATTCTAGAGAAAACAGGCCAAATTTATATAATTTCTCTACATACCTTAACCCCTGAAGTACAGGTATTATTCTTGTAAACCTACATTGTATTCCCTCAAAATATCTTTCCTGAAGTACGGTGCCCAGATCTGTTCACAGTACTCCAAGTCGGCCTAACCACGGTTTTGTATAACTGCAGCATAATGTCTGTGTATCTTTGTACTCCAGCCCTCCAGATATAAAGACCAGCATTTCAAATGTACCTAAATAGTGAGAGGTTGTAGAGAAATCTGGGTGTCCTAGTATGTGAATTGCTGAAGGATAGTGTGTAGGTCCAGCAAATAATCAGGAAAGCTAGTAGAATGTTATGTTTTATTGCCAGGGGAATTCAGTGCAAGAGTAAGGAAGTTATGCTCCCTGTTACGTAGGGCATTGGTGAAACTGCATCTGGAGTACTGTGCGCAGTACTGGTCACCGTACTTATGGAGAGATGTTAATTCATTGAAACCAGTTCAGAGAAAGTTTATTAGACTAATACCTGAGTTGAGTGGATTGCCTTCTGAAGAAAGAATAGACAGGCTAGACCTGTATCCTTTGGAATTCAGAAGTGACTTAATTGAAACATATAAAATCGAGTAGTCTTCACCAGGTGGATGTGGAAAGGATGTTTTCTGTTTTGGGATTCTTTTAGAACTAGGGGTCATAATTTAATAATAAAGGGTGGCCCATTTAAACGGCGATGAGGAAAGTTTTGTTTTTGTGTCAATATGCTAGGCCAGGACAATCATCGCTGCAAATGTTCCTTGATATGGAATAATGGTTTAGCATTGTTGACATGGAGCTCCATGATGAGGACTTAGAGCACTTTTGTTTTGGGTCTTAGGTGAACATCAGTGAACAGCTGTCTATGCATTCTGGTCTGTAGATGGCCTGAAGATATATGACAGCAGTAAAGAAAAAAGTGTGCTGTAATTTTGGCGCCAGAACACAACACTGTTCGTCCCCACTGCAGATGTCAAAGGGTTCCTGAGTTGCTTGGTTATTGCTAACCATACCCATCATCTCCTCATGTAAAGAAGAAATTATATTGAGCAGCTTCAGCAGGCAGCCAGAATATGGTTTCGGAGAAAGGATTCGTACCTGGCACAAAAAAACTGGTTGTGTTGTTGATTTCCTCCCGGTAACATCCTAGGCCAAACATCTTGAACTGCTATATCAATGGTCTTCCCTACATAAGGTCAGAAGTCAGGGTGTTCACTGATTGCGACACCTCAAGTATTGAAGCAACCTCTGTCTGTGTTCAGCAAGACCTGGACAACAACCTGGTTGACATTAAGCAGAAACTGAACTGGATCAACCCTGTCCCCACTCGCTGTTTCCCGCACATTGGCCAATTCACTATCTATGCCAATATACAACCACTATTGGTCTCTTGCCTTAACCAGCTTTTCCTATTTCCTGTGGACAGATTTGCAGATAAAAACACTTGACATCTCTTGGCACTTAAGTCAGCATGAGCACAACATTTAAGTGGTTAACATCTGGAAAGGAAAGATCATAAAACAACTGTTGTGCTTACTTAGCTAAAGAACTGGAGATGTTCTTGCAAGCATTCTAGCAATGACAAGTTGAGTTGTTTTAGTTTGTGATTTAGAACAAAGTTAGTTTAAAGCTGTCTTCAGTGATCAGTGAACAAGCAGTCCAGATCCCTTTGTTCCTTGGAAGCTTACAAGTGTCTTACCATTTGTTGAATTCTCCCTTGGTTTGTTACTTCTTCCAAAGTGCATAGCCTCGCACTTCTTGCAAGGATAAATTCTATCTGCCACTGATTTACCCATCTGACCAACTTGTTTATATCTTCCTGTAATCTAAGGTGGTCTTCCTCACTATTAACCACCTAATCGATCTTCGTGACATCTGCACACTTAATTATCATACCCACCCTCCCCCAAGTTCTCATCTATATTGTTCATATACCCTGTGAAGTCTTTGGAACAGGGTAGCTGTTTCGACCAGTGCTCCTGAAACTGGAAGGATGTATAGTGAACTAGGTCACCCTATAGTGAAGAGTCAGTGTTAGTCCCAGACCAGACGTGTTGGGGATAAAACATTGAAGTGATTACCTAATGCAGAGTATATTTAAGCAGGTGTGTGATGGCTCCAAGAAGAAGCTGTCTGCAGTCCTAGTCTACAGTATGTAATTCTTCACTGGAAATATGATTTGCAAAAATGGGCTGCTCATAATTTTTTTTTGTGTATGGCTTCCCTGAACTATTTTCTTTAATGTGTTACCAAAAACAGCCTTTTCCATCCACCTGATGAAAATTATTCTCCTGCAAAAACTTCTCCTGATTTTGCAAGACGCAAGTGGCTGACTCCAGGTTCTGACTATTCCATCTTCACAGGACAACCCTTAGAAAATCCCTGTAATGCTTCTAGCAATGACTCTGTGGAGACCAACCTGCAGCCCAGAAGGTCAGTACAACATTCTCATTCCAGTAATTCTTACAACTTTATACATTGCTAACATTTAACCTTTAAGAATATTTTAAAATATGGAACAGTTTGTTACTGTACCCTCATCAATTAAGCCTGAATGAGCTTTCAGATTTTAATATGATATGTGTTAATTGCTGCCAATGATCCTCCTGGCACCAAAAAGTAACTGTTTTAAGTAGGAAATCTTAATTCGTCAGATTTTAATTATGGATTTCTTTAAAAAAAATCAAATTTTAGATTAAAAACCGCTCTTTCCTTTTCCTTCTCTCTCTCTCTCTCTCTCTCTCTCTCTCTCTCTCTCTCTCAATCCAATCTTTCTGTCCCCATTTGTTTCACTTGCTGTATCTGATTCGATACTGAAATTACTGTTTTCCTCTCAGGCATTGTATTCTATATTTTACTTATTCAACCAAGTTAAAGCGATTATAGAAACTTGTCCTTTCAGTTAGATTCTTGATTTCTTTCTTTTCTTCGTTTTTTCAGCTAGCACTTTTAATAACTTGTAGTAGGTAATGCCGTGGTGATTGAATGGGGGAATTTTGCTTAACTGGTGCTGCAGTGTTTACTCTTGACTCTCTTGTACATCAAAAATCTGTCAAACTCAGCCTTGAATAAATTCCAAGACTCAACCTCCGCGACTGTCTTTGATGAAAATTCCAATGATTAACAACTCTCTGGAAGAAAGAATTACTCCTTACCCTTCTCTTAAATAGGAGTCCCCTTATTATTGTGTAGTTCTTAACTCTCGCCTGAGAGGAAGCATTCTCTTAACATCAACTTGAATGAGTTTAGGCTCGATCTGCTGTGTCTTTCCTCATAGCACCTTCACTTCAGGAATCAACCCAGTGAATCTTCTCTGAGCTGCGTCAAATGAAGGTACATCACTCCTGAAGTAAGGAATTCAAGTTGTTTGCAGCACTATAGATGCAGTCTCACAACTTCCCTATAAGTTTGCAGAAAAACATTCCTACTTTTGCTCCATCTATGTTGCTTTGAGTCCTAACATTCCATTTCCTAATTAATACTTGTACCTATATGCCAACTTTTCCGTGTTTCCGTATATAATAGTGGTGAATTCTGGGAATTCTTTATGTTCAGGACAGAGAAACAGATTTCTAGCTACTACTGACATCAAGAGACATAGTTGCAGTACAGGAATATAGCATTGAATTTGAAAATCAGTCATGACCAAGTGTGGTGCCTTTTGTAACGTTAAAACACTGAATCTGCTGGTTTTCCTTTTATTCATTTTGCTTGTTATCATAGAATCCCTACAGTGTGGAAACAGGCCTTTCGGCCCAACAAGTCCACACCAAACCTCGGAGCATCCCATCCAGACCCATCCCTCTATAACCCACCTAATCTACACCTCCCTGAATGCTACGGGCAATTTAGCATCTTTGGACTGTGGGAGGAAACCGGAGCATCCGGAGGAAACCCACGCAGACACGGGGAGAATGTGCGAACTCCATATAGACAGTTACCCGAGGCTGGAATTGAACCCGAGTCCCTGGCGCTGTGAGGCAGCAGTGCTAACCACTGTGCCACCGTGCCACACCCATCAGATAGCTTTAAGTTTCATGTTCTCCACTGTAGATGCTAGTTTTAAATTTCTGTTGCTGAATCCCCTACTCATCTGCTAGAGGTTACCATTTGGCCAACAACCTAACTTGACAAAGCCATTGTGGCTCAAAGGCTAAGAGTTCTGCAGTGAGCAACTAACTTCTCAAATTCTCTCCACCATTTACAGGCACAAGTCACAACTGTGATGGAATACGCTCCACTAGCTGTGATGAGTGCAATTCCAATTTCGCTCAAAGCTCACTACCATACAGAAAATATCAGCCATATGTTCAGCAGTGCCTCAAACACTGGCACATGTAGTGGCAAGTGTGTACCAACAGCAACTCACTAAGTCCCCTTTAAATTCACACCCCCAACCAGAGGAAGGACAGTGACACATGGGAACATGACCACAAGTAAGTTCCTCTCTAAGCAACATTCCATCTTGACTTAGAACTAGATCACTTTGTTTAGTGTCGCTGGGTCAAAACCCTGGGGAACTCCCTTCCTAAAAGCATTGTGGGTGTCCCTACACCGTGTTGATTACAGCGGTTCATGACAATTGTGGATGAACAACAAATGCTGACTTTGTCTGCAACACTCATCTTATGAAAGAATAAAACTTGGAAGGTGAATATCAACAATGATTGGTTGGTTCAAGAAGCTTGTTTTCATGAAATAATTTATCTTACAGTGTAATATCCAGATTCTCAGACAGCCTGATTGTCCCAGTCTGCACTTGGGAATTATCTATGGCCACATCTTTTGGAGATCTGAACACAGCTCCATTATGTGCTGCATTTGATAAGATAATCACTGTGGAATTATCAGATACCATTGGAGCTGAAGGATATTTCTGACATCAGTTAATCCTCAACCTAGCTGTGCAGAAACATTTAAACATGCTGATATATAAAGAGGCACTCAGCTGAGCAGGGAAATAAATGCATTTTGAAAAGATGATTTGTAAGTGTTAACCAAATTATTTTCACATATATAAAAAAAACTTAGTCAACAGCAATGGCAAAGGTGATTTGACATTCCAGCAAAGGTTTTCTCCACCTTTAAAGAATCTAGATTTGAAATGTTACGATTTCAATATCTACCCCTTACAAATTGGAATGTAAAAATGCATGTCACATTGAATGTTTTGGTTTGTAAACTCCATTGCTTTCTCAGCCTTGCAAAGAAAAGTCAGCAACCCGAAATATTGCCCGTCTTTGATTTGCCATAGATGTGCTCAACCTGCTGCGTGTTATGTGCATTGTGTGTATAATCTCAATCCTTGTTGCTATCAAAGTTTCTGTCTTGGGCTCCATGCTCAACCACCGCAGCTAACATTGCAAAACAGCCGAACAAGCCATAGAATTCCCTTCTCAGACACAACTTTGGCTTATCAACTCCAGACATTTGATCAAACAATATTCACAGTAAATCTCCATGCTAAGGCTATCTCATTGATGAGGAACAGAATGTTCCTTCTTCAATTTCAGATCAGCATCCACATGCTAGGGGTGAGAGAGTGTGTGCGTCTGTGTGTTTGTCTGGGGGGGATGGGTTGGGGTGGGGAAGACAGCACGAGCGAGAGTGAGCAGGAGGTAGTGTATATGGGAAAAACAGAAACTTTATTCCTAAGAATTTTGTAACATATCAAAACCCCGTTAGCATCAGCGTATTTATGGTTTTATCTTAGCAGCACACCAGCCATTTTGAAAAGGATAGTAGTTGAGGAAAACTTGAAACTGGAAAAGTAAGCACTGAATATAGACTCTGTAGATTTGGAAAAGCATGTCCTTCATTCCAGTCAAGTAATTGCCAGGAACTGTAAATAACTTTCTTCTTAATAAGGTATCTGTGAATTGCGGTTATATCTTTGAGTTATTCTATTTAAGTACGAAACATAGACAAATGGAGAATAAAACAAATCAATCTCAAGCGAAAATAAGGCCAATATTGTAAAGCCTTAAAAAGAATGACAGGCTCATGGATTCAATGGCGCAGAAACCAATTGGTGCAAAAGATGTTAATTCCAGAAGCAAAGAATCCCCAGTTGCACAGAGTGGACAAGGAACTTCGCATCTAATAAGAGCAATAGTCCTAAAGGCAGAAACAGAAAAACTCAACCTTTCTTCCCAAATTTCCATAATTTCAGTTCTTTTAAGCCCAATAATAGATGAACCAGGTAGGACATCCACTTCACAATGAAGTTCCTGCTATTTTTAATTGGTCATGGTATATACAAACAGCATCCCACTGTATCCTGCAGAAAGCACATGACCATCTTTCCCAACTTTTAAAAACTCTACACCACTAGTTTCCTTTAATACAATGATTTATTAATAGTTTGCTGCGAGTTCAGTGTCCAGCAGTAACTTATTTATTGACAATTCTAACTTAAATATACAGTTACAAAAAATATCTTCTGTTATATCTTCTTAGAACTATATGGTCAAATACTATTTCTGTTTCATACAATTGAGTGAAGTCCAGATGATTTATTTCATTTTGTTTTTTTAAAATGCCGTGGTGCTATTTGGTTAAAAATGGTTCCAGCATGTTTCCCTGTCAAATAGTGGGCTAGCGAGTTTTGCTTTTTGTCTGTCTCTCCTCCTTCCCTCCCCTGTCCCCCGCCAAAAATAAATACTTTTTATTACTTTGCTGCTAACTAGTTAATGCATCTACTTTCTCTGCAGCCATATCCTTTAAGGTTAGATGCAGGCCAACAAGTCTGGGGGGCTTGTCAAAGTTTAAGTCCATTTAATGTCTCTGGTACTGTTTCTTTAATAATCCTTTCAGAGATAGTAGGAACTGCAGATGCTGGAGAATCTGAGATAACAAGGTGTAGAGCTGGATGAACACAGCAGGTCAAGCAGCATCAGAGGAGCAGGAAAGCTGACGTTTCGGGCCTAGACCCTTCAGAAATGGGGGAGGGGAAGGGGGTTCTGAAATAAATAGGGAGAGAGGGGGAGGCGGATAGAGGAGAAGATAGGTGGAGAGGAGACAGACAGGTCAAAGAGGCGGGGATGGAGCCAGTAAATGTGAGTGTAGGTGGGGAGTTAGGGAGGGGATAGGTCAGTCCAGGGAGGACGGACAAGTCAAGGGGGTGGGATGAGGCTAATAGGTAGGAGATGGGGGTGGGGCTTGAGGTGGGAGGAGGGGATAGGTCGGAGGAAGGACAGGTTAGCAAGGCGGGAATGAGCTGGGCTGGTTTTGGGATGCGTTAGGGGGAGGGGAGATTTTTGAAGCTTGTCAAGTCCACATTGATACCATTGGGCTGCAGGGTTCCCAAGAGGAATGTGAGGTGCTGTTCCTGCAACCTTCAGGTAGCATCGTTGTGGCACTGCAGGAGGCCCAGGATGGACATGTTGTCTGAGGAATGGGAGGGGGAGTTGAAATGGTTCGTGACTGAGAGGTGCAGTTGTTTAGTGCGAACCGAGCATAGGTGTTCTGCAAAGCGGTCCCCAAGCCTCCGCTTGGTTTCCCTGATGTACAGGAGGCCACAACGGGAACAGCGGATACAGTACACCACATTGGCAGATGTGCAGGTGAACATCTGCTTGATGTGGAAAGTCTTCTTGGGGCCTGGGATGGGGGGAGGTGTGGGGGCAGGTGTAGCACTTCCTGCGGTTGCAGGGAAAAGTGCTGGGTGTGGTGGGGCTGGACGGGAGTGTGGAGCAGACAAGGGAGTCCCGGAGGGAGTGGTCCCTCCGGAAAGTAGGTAAGGGTGGGGAGGGAAAAATGTCTTTGGTGGTGGGATCGGATTGCAGATGGCGGAAGTGTCGGAGGATGATGCGTTGGATCTGGAGGTTGGTGGGGTCGTACGTGAGGACAAGGGGAATTCTGTTTTGGTTGTTATTGCGGGGAGGGGGTGTGAGGAATGTGTTGCGGGAATGCGGGAGACGTGGTCGAGGGCGTTCTCGACCACTGAGTGGGGGGAAGTTGCGGTCCTTGAAAAACGAGGACATCTGAGATGTTCGGGAGTGGAATGCCTCGTCCAGGGAGCAGATGCGGCGGAGGCGAAGGAATTGGGAATAGGGGATGGCATTTTTGCAGGAAGATGGGTGGGAGGAGGTGTATTCTAGGTTACTGTGGGAGTCGGTGGGCTTGAAATGGATATCGGTTTCCAGGTGGTTGCCAGAGATGGAAACAGAGGTGTCCAGGGAGGAGAGAGAGGTATCAGAGATGGTCCAGGTGAACTTAGGGTTGGGGTGGAGGGTGTTGAAGTGGATGAACTGTCGAGCTCTTCGTGGGAGTCATCAATGTAACGGAGGAAGAGGTGTGGTTTAGGGCCAGTGTAGCTACGGCAGGCATAGCTTGGGCCCATGCGGGTACCCATGACCACCCCCTTTGTCTGTAGGAAGTGGGAGGAATTGAAAGAGAAGTTGTTGAGAGTGAGGACGAGTTCGGCTAAGCGGATGAGGGTGTCGGTGGAGGGGGACTGGTTGGGCCTGCGGGGCAGGAAGAAGCAGAGGGCCTTTAGGCCATCTGTGTGGGGAATGCAGGTGTATAGGGACTGGATGTCCATTGTAAAGATGAGGTGTTGGGGACCAGGGAATTGGAAGTTTTGGAGGAGGTGGAGGGCGTGGGTGGTGTCACGGACGTAGGTAGGGAGTTCCTGGACCAAGGGGGAGAAAATGGAGTCGAGATAGGTGGAGATAAGTTCGATGGGGCAGGAGTAGGCAGAGACAATGGGTCGACCAGAGTAGTCAAGTTTGTGGATTTTGGGTAGGAGATAGAAGCGGGCGGTGCGGGGTTGGGGAACGATGAGGTTGGAGGCTGTGGGTGGGAGGTCACCTGAGGTGATGAGGTTGTGGATGGTTTGGGCGATGATGGTTTGGTGGTCAGGGGTGGAATCATGATCCGGGGACGGTAGGAGGAGGTGTCGGAGAGTTGGCGCCTGGCCTTGGCGATATAGATGTCAGTGTGCCATACTACAACTGCGCCTCCCTTGTCCGCGGGTTTTATGGTGAGGTTGGGGTTGGAGCGGAGGGCTGCATGTTCTGTCGGGGAGAGGTTGGAGTGGGTGAGAGGGGTGGAGAGGTTGAGGCGATTCATGTCACAACGGCAGTTGGAGATGAAGAGGTTGAGGGAGGGTAGAAGACCTTGGGGTGGTGTCCAGGAGGAGGGGGTGTGTTGGAGGCTGGAGAAGGGGTCAGTAGAGGGAGGGTTGGGCTCACAGTTAAAGAAGTAAGCACAGAGGCGGAGGTGGCAGAAAAACTGTTCAATGTCCAAGTGTGAGTGGTATTCGTTGATGTGTGGGTGGAGGGGGACAAAGGTGAGCCCTTTATTGAGGACTGATCGTTTGCCCTCAGTAAGGGGGAGGTCTGGGGGGATGGTGAAGACTCGGCAGGGCTGTGTGCTGCAGTCACCTCTGGAGTTGCTGGGACTCCCTTGTCCGCTCCACAGTCCCCTCCAGCCCCAGCACACCTGGAACTTTTCCTTGCAACCGCAGGAAGTGCTACACCTGCCCCTACACCTCCCCCCTCACCACCATCACAGGCCCCAAGAAGACTTTCCACATCAAGCAGATGTTCACCTGCACATCTGCTGATGTGGTATACTGTATCCGCTGTTCCCGTTGTGGCCTCCTCTACATCGGGGAAACCAAGCGGAGGCTTGGGGACCGCTTTGCAGAACACCTACGTTCGGTTCGCACTAAACAACTGCACCTCTCAGTCGCGAACCATTTCAACTCCCCCTCCCATTCCTCAGACGACATGTCCATCCTGGGCCTCCTGCAGTGCCACAACGATGCTACCCGAAGGTTGCAGGAACAGCACCTCATATTCCACTTGGGAACCCTGCAGCCCAATGGTATCAATGTGGACTTGACAAGCTTCAAAATCTCCCCTCCCCCTACCGCATCCCAAAACCGGCCCAGCTCGTCCCCGCCTCCCTAACCTGTCCTTCCTCCCACCTCAAGCCCCATCCCCATCTCCTACCTACTAGCCTCATCCGGCCCCCTTGACCTGTCCGTCCTCCCCAGACTGACCTATCCCCTCCCTAACTCCCTACCTACACTCACCTTTACTGGCTCCGCCCCTTTGACCTGTCTGTCTCCTCTCCACCTATCGTCTCCTCTATCCATCTTCTGTCCACCTCCCCCACCTCCCTATTTATTTCAGAACCCCCTTCCCCTCCCCCATTTCTGAAGAAGGGTCTAGGCCCGAAACGTCAGCTTTCCTGCTCCTCTGATGCTGCTTGACCTGCTGTGTTCATCCAGCTCTACACCTTGTTATCTTTAATAATCGTGTTTGTTTTGCTCCATTTCAGTCCTTGATTTTCTCCTGTTATTATTGGGCTACTTTTATGTCTGCTGTTGCGAAGATAGATGCAAAATACTTCTTTAAAACCGCTGCTGTTTGCTTATTTCCCATTACTAATCCTCTAATCTCACTCCATAAGAGACTGATGTTTAATTTAGGTACATTTTTTTTAATATACTTGCAGAAGATTTTATTAAGCATTTTTATCATTCTTGCTAGTTTACTGTTTGTATTCTATTTCCTCCCTTTTTTTCTCATCATCTAAGGTTTCTAAAATTTTTCCAACCTTTACAGCAATATGTAGCTTTTCTTTCGATTTGGTAGCATCCTTAACCAGCTTAGTTAACCATGAATCATTTATTCTTCAATGGGGGCTTTCTTTCACAATGAAATCTTTGAGGTTTACAAAATAGCTCCTTAAATGCCTCCCACTGCTCTACTATATTTTTAACTGACTTTTCTGGTTTATTTTCACCACCTGTCTTTGTATCTTTCAAATTGTCTTTAACACACATTTTAGACCCAAGTTTCTCATCTTCACATTGAATGTGAAATTTAACTTTTCTAATTCATTCATGGGATTTGGGCTTTACTGGCTTGGCCAATATTCTTTGCCAATCCCTTATTACCAAGAGGCTGTTAAGAGTTCAACCACGTTGCTGTGAATCTTGAGTCAAGTTCACTGAAATTTTTTGACCTTTGTTCTCACTTTTTACAGTAACCCCAGAAATACTCCTCCTGGGAGCTGTGACTTGTAGCATAAATATATTGTTTTTATTATTGTACTAAAAATAAATTTTGATATTTGCAATAGTTTTAACCTCCCAACTATACCAAAGGGATTACAGAAGCATAAGTGGTACTTAGAAATGAATCCTTTTACTGTTGTTGATTTGATTAGGTACCATTCTCCCCCAGAGAAGGATAACCCTTTTAATCAGCAAGATCCTTCAAATGGTTTGGACGAGCCTATTCCTCCTATTCTCAAAGCATTACAAAAGCTTGATGCCAGAAATGTATCTGAAAGCTGGGAAGCAGAAGAATCAAAGCATGTCTCAGAAGCAGGCGATGCTACAAGTAAGGCCCATCTTATGTTTGTGTTTTATGCTGCTTTTTCACAGTATCCGAGTAATTGAATTTCTATTCATTAGATGTTCATGCAAATTCTTTCTTGTGATGCATGGCAATATATTGTAATGTTACTATGAGTGAATGAGTTCTTCGAATTGAATTGAATTGAATTGTGGACTAACAGTACTATAAAAACAGAAGCACTGGTTGCAGATTAAGTTGTCAGTTGGTGTATTGCATATGTCATGACCATACTAAGTGCACATGCAGCTTGTGAACTGTGAATTTCAATGTCCAATTTAAAACTAACAAGAAAAACTTTAGTTTTAAATAAGGACAAAGGATACTTTATTACACAACTATTGCTGTAAGTTCAGTGTAAAAATATTAGGTAAAATACAAAGATTAAAAATAGGTAAACTGAAAGGTATTATAAAGTTGCAAATCAAATTAGTCCATTATCTTTGTAGGCCTGCTGCTTGCTTGTGGGTTCACATTCCGAAGGCGAATGTGGTTGAAAGCTTTTGACGTCAAAAGCTTAACAGCTGCAATGGCTTCTGTAGTTGAAGAGTTGAAGGTGTTTATAAAGGTGGGCTCTGCATGTGGAGCATTGTTTTGAGAGAGAATGAGAAAAGGTTTCTTGTTCCCCACTAGTTCACCAGTTAAGGCAATTTCAGATTGCCTGGACTCACTATCAGCAGCACTTTGATTTCTGAAAACCTTTTTTGAGCTGAGAATCTTCTCTCTGATGTTGTCATAGATACCTTCCCAGGGTGTACTCTTGTAAAGCGTAAGATTTGACTTTGGACTATTATTTCAAGAAACAAAGTTTAATTGTGCTGGTTTTCCGTGTGAGGTGGATTTTCATCCAGTCTCCTGTTGTCTCAGAATTTTAAATTCTCACACCTTTAAGGACCCGCTATGTTGTCCAAAGATTAATCAAATTCTAAGTGGCTTGCTTTTGTGATTTATGTTGTGATAACATACCAGCCTATCTGTTTTTCTGGTTGACATTAACCAACAGGGACAGACATGTCTTTTTCTTTTAGCATTTTAAACACTTCTGTCAAGTCAGCCCATACTCTTTCTGAGACAACAAGGTGCAGAGCTGGATGAACACAGCAGGCTAAGCAGCATCATAGGAGCAGAAAGGCTGACGTTTCGGGCCTAGACCCTTCATCAGAAATGGGGGAGGGGAAGGGGGTTCTGAAATAAATAGGGAGAGAGGGGGAGGCGGATAGAAGATGGATAGAGGAGAGGATAGGTGGAGAGGAAACAAACAGGTCGAAGAGGCGGGGATGGAGCCAGTAAAGGTGAGTGTAGGTGGGGAGTTAGGGAGGGGATAGGTCAGTCCAGGGAGGACGGACAAGTCAAGGGGGCGGGATGAGGTTAGTAGGTAGGAGATGGGGGAGCGGCTTGAGGTGGGAGGAGGGGATAGGTGGGACGAAGAGCAGGACCGGTTTTGGGATGCGGTAGAGGGAGGGGAGATTTTGAAGCTTGTGAAATCCACATGGATACCGTTGGGCTGCAGGGTTCCCAAGTGGAATATGAGTTGCTGTTCCTGCAACCTTCGGGTAGCATCGTTGTGGCACTGCAGGAGGCCCAGGATGGACATGTCGTCTGAGGAATGGGAGGGGGAGTTGAAATGGTTCGCGACTGAGAGGTGCAGTTGTTTATTGTGAACCGAGCGTAGGTGTTCTGCAAAGCGGTCCCCGAGCCTCCGTTTGGTTTCCCCGATGTAGAGAAGGCCACAACGGGTACAGCGGATGCAGTATACCACATTGGCAGATGTGCAGGTGAACATCTGCTTGATGTGGAATGTCTTCTTGGGGCCTGGGATGGGGGTGAGGGAGGAGATATGTGGGCAGGTGTAGCACTTCCTGCAGTTGCAGGGAAAAGTGCCGGGTGTGGTGGGGCTGGAGGGGAGTGTGGAGTGGACAAGGGAGTCACGGAGAGAGTGGTCCCTCCGGAAAGCAGATAAGGGTGGTGAGGGAAAGATGTCTTTGGTGGTGGGGTCGGATTGCAGATGGCGGAAGTGTCGGAGGATGATGTTTTGGATCCAGAGGTTGGTGGGGTGGTACGTGAGGACGAGGGGGATCCTTTTTTGGTTCTTATTGCGTGGACGGGGTGTGAGGGATGAGTTGCAGGAAATGTGGGAGACACAGTTGAGGGCGTTCTCGACCACTGAGGGGGTGAAGTTACTTTTCAACTCCCCCTCCCATTCCTCAGATGACATGTCCATCCTGGGCCTCCTGCAGTGCCACAACGATGCCACCCGAAGGTTGCAGGAACAGCAACTCATATTCCGCTTGGGAAGCCTGCAGCCCAATGGTATCAATGTGGATTTCACAAGCTTCAAAATCTCCCCTCCCCCTACTGCATCCCAAAACCGGTCCAGCTCATCCCCGCCTCCCTAACCTGTTCCTCCCACCTGTCCCCTCCTCCCACCTCAAGCCGCACCCCCATCTCCTACCTACTAACCTCATCCCGCCCCCTTGACCTGTCTGCCCTCCCTAACTCCTCACCTACACTCACCTTTACTGGCTCCATCCCGGCCTCTTCGACCTGTTTGTTTCCTCTCCACCTATCCTCTCCTCTATCCATCTTCTATCCGGCTCCCCCTCTCTCCCTATTTATTTCAGAACCCCCTTCCCCTCCCCCATTTCTGATGAAGGGTCTAGGCCCGAAACGTCAGCCTTTCTGCTCCTATGATGCTGCTTAGCCTGCTGTGTTCATCCAGCTCTGCGCCTTGTCTCGGATTCTCCAACATCTGCAGTTCCTACTATCTCCCATACTCTTTCTGGTTCCTTTTTGTTTGTTAGAACAATATTGTTCAACCTTTTTGTCACCACTTTTTTATTTCTCATACTAAGCAGTATTCTAGTGCACCTGCATTACAATTTGCCCAAAGTCTGAATAACCTAACGCAGAGCCCAATACTTTATGCAATATTCAAACCTTATTATGGTTTTAAATTTCCTTTTTATATTTTATACATCAAAACAAAACCCACTTTTCTGCAGCCTTATCAACTAAAGGTGCTGTCTTTAATGTCCTATGAAACTGTACCCCTACTGTAAATCGTTTTGTTCTGACACTGCACAGAGCCATCTTCCATCCTTCAAGGCATTTTGATTGTGGAGCATTACAACAGATCTCATCTTAATCTTACCAAGTGAGAGAAAAGAGCTGTAGTGGAGCGAATAATTTTAAGGGAGAGACGCTTCAGATACAGACTAGGTACATTCCAGAAAGGGTGAAAATCAGGCCGCCTTGGATGGTGTGGGAGTTAGAGATTATGACGAAGCAGAAAAGGAGGGTGTATAGGTAAGTTCTTGAAGTGAAAATCAGGTCAAATACAATAAATTGATAAAGGAAGAGAAAAGGAAAATAAGACTGGCAAATAGAATAGAATGGCAGTCAACATGAAAGGAAACCTGAAAATCTTCTACGAGCATTTAAACAATGGTAGGTATAGTGGATCCTATTAAGGACGAAACAGATCATGTACATGTAGAAGTGCATGGTAAAGCTGGACTACTGAATTACTTGTATCGGTGCTTCTTTAGAAGAGAAATTTGACAAAATGTTGGTTGAAGGAAAGGTAGCTGAGACAATGGATAGAATGAAAATGCTTAGAGAAGATACGTCACCGAATCGTAAAGTTCATTGATTCATTGTCACGTGTACCGAAATATAGTGAAAAGCTTTGTTTATGAACGGTACAGGCAGATCACAGCAAGCAAAGAATGTACAGATCAAAAAGACTTAGAGGCATGCAGATTACATTGCAGGTTACGTTATTTGAGGCTAGAGTCCATTCAACAGTCTGATTACGGCCAGAAAGAAGCTGTTCCTGAAGCTGCTCATACGTGTGTTCAGGCTTCTGTATCTTCAGCTTGACGGAAGAGGTTATAGGAGGTCGTTGTCGGGGTGCGATGAGTCTTTCATAATGTTGGTCGCCTTTCCATGGCAGCGAGCTGTGGTTAAAGTAGTCCATGGATGGGAGTTTGGCTTCTGTGATGGCCTGGACTGTGCACACCACCTTCTGTAGTTTCCTACAGTCCGGGACAGAGCCGTGCCATACCAGGCTGTTATGCACCAGGACAAGTACAACATTGCAGGTACAACAGGAAAGTGTTTAATGCAAGGTGAATGGAACGTAAAAGTTGGGAAACTTTATTGCTGTTGTACAGGGATTTGGTGAGACTGCCCGTGTTTGGAGTACTATTCAACTAAGTGGCCTTGCTTTTAAAACAAAGCTGGGAGATTTTTTTCTGAGGGTGGTTAGTCTGTGGAATACTCTTCCTGAGGCAGCAGTGGAGTTTGGGTCATTAAAATTATTCAAGACTGAGTTAGTTGCACTTTCAGAATCACAGAATTGTGGCAGTGCAGAAAATTAATCCATTGTGTCTTTGCTGGCTTTCTGAACGGGCAGCTCACCTACTACAATTCTCCTGTTTCTCAATGTTCCTTTACAAATAATCATCTAATTCTTTTTTGAAAACCACAATTGAACCTGCTTCCACACACACTCTGGCAATATATTTGGGACCCTAACCACCTTCTGCATGAAAAAGCTTTTCCTCACAGCATTTCTGCTTCTTTTACTGAGATTACTTATGTGCTTCTCATTCTTGATTATTTCATGAGTGGGAACATTTTTCTCTCTCTTTTTGATAGACACGGGAGTCAAGGGTCATAAGAGATGAACAATAAAATGGAATTGAGATCACAATCAGATCAGCCATGACTTTATTGGCAAGTGGAGCAAGGTCAAAGGCCAAATGACCTATTCTTATCTCAAAATTGAATTCATCTGTGAAAGCCTCAAATCACTGAGGAAAATTTGCTCGAGTGATGAATTTGAGAAAAGCTGTTCCTGTAAAAAGAGTGGAAGGAATTGGTAAGGAACTGCTATTCCAATCACAGACTGGTTCTCCCATTGCTTTAATGAGCCTATCAGCAATGATCAGAGGAGAGAAGCAACCTGTGAGCGGAGGAGCAGCAAAGTAATTAAGTGGAAACAATGAGGAAGTTGCTGCGGGAGCTTTTAGAGGTACTGAAGTGGCTTTTGCTAAGCCTAGGATTGGAGGCAACCTTTAGCCGAGTGTGGGATCAAGAGTGGTCTTTAGCCAAAGCTGGGTGTTCTTTTTGCCAGAAGAGACAATATAGCCTTAATGACAATTCTAAAGAGTATGTAGGAGTACATGTGCATCAATGTTTGAATGTGGCAGGACACATTGAGAGAGTAGTTAGCAAAACATGAGAGATCTTGGGCTTGTTAAGTGGAGGTGTTGAGTACCAAAACAAGTAATTTATGTAGAGTAGTATCGGACTTTGGTTATGCTGCAGGTCACCACATTTCAGCCAAGACATGAAGGTTATTGAAAGGCTGACGAGGAGATTTACCAGAAATGTTCCAGGAAGGAGATTTTAGTTAAAATTAGATTGGAAAGGCTGGGGTTGTTTTCCTCGATTTGTATACAAGAATGAAAACCACATTTAGATGGCAGATGAAAAACCCTTCCTACAGGTGATCATACCATGCTTGAGGATGGCTTTAGAATTTCGGGTAAGAGATGCAGGGAGAATGAGAGAGAGCTTTTTTTTTTTTTGTTTAATACAGCGAGTGGTAAAGATATAGAACTTGCTGCCGCAAAGCAGGTGAATGGGGAAACAATCTATGATTCCAAATAGAACTTGGATGGGAGTTGAATGGAAAAATTTACAGGGCCATGGGGAATGAGCAGGCAATAGGAACGACCGAGTTGCCCTGGCAGGAAGCAGACATGCACTCAATGGGCTGAGAACCTCCTCCTTTATTATAAATAACTCGTGCCCTCATGCATGCTCTTGCCAACAGGGTAACCAAGTAGTCAACAGGAGCAGTTTTATTCCAGTGAGAGAGGCCAGTTGTACTGCAATGACTAAGATAAATTATCTGAAACAGAGACTAACTCATGACATTTCTAGATTGTCCAGCTCAGTTTCACAGCACAATCATTGAGGAAGCTAAAAAAAAATGTTCAGACCTGAAACTCTGTCCATTTAGCCAGGCATGTCATTTATTCATTTGTTTTTATCAGAATTCTTGCATCGCAAACAGACTGTAGGATTTGCAGACGCCACTTACAGTGGAGACAAATCTGAGGATTCTGTTACGGGTCGAACCAGATCAAAAAGTAGTCGTTCTCCCTCAGGTCAAAGATCGTCTTCTGTACCCCCTTCAAACCGGAGGCCAACACCCACTTCTACACCAAGTAAAAACATTTCTCTGAATTCTTCAAATGTTTTAAAGTTTGATTGTTGACTATTTTTTGTGCTCCATTTTTGTTAACCTGTCTAGCAACTTTTCCCATATTGGCTTCTGTCAGTTATGCCAAATGTCCAGTGGTAACGTGCAAAATTCAAGATTCTGTTTTCATTAAAATCTCACTTTTGATTTATGTGCAATGTGATTTCACAATGTAGTCTTCCAATAGTTGTAATACAGAACTTGAGCATTACTGAAAAAAGACTCATTTTGTCAAAGATTTTTGTCTTGCAGTTCTTAGGACAATTTACAAGAAGTTCGATATAAAGGAAAACAACATTTATGCTATTTGGAAGGATAGTGCTGATTGTTTGGTAGGGACAGTGCCATAAAGAATGCACCAATTAGATTATGACTGACATGTAATGGCCAGACTTTGTCTAAATTTTAAACCAGGTTCTGACTCTGGTCAAGATATTGCCTGGAGAAGTGAACTAGCAAGTGACTATACTCTATTTTGTTCGTTTGAAACATTTGCAAACACAGATCTACTTTGTGTGCAGTATGCACACAAGAGATAACGATATTTAAACCTACAGTATTTGAATTCAGTTGGGAGTGCAACCATTTAGCCAAACAGCAGAGAAATCTAGAACACTGTAAGGTGCTTTGGCTAACATGGTCAATCTGTGAAGCACATGTTTCAAATGCAATTTGAAGGAGTGTGATGGATGAGAGGGTGGCATCATGAAACTGTGTCTGATAAATTTTTTTGAGGAAGTCTCAACCAGAGTGGATACAGGGTAATATGTAATCTGTAACGGTAGATGTGTTGTACTTGTATTTCCAGAAGACGTTTGACAAGTTACATCATAAAAGACTAAGTTGTAGAGTAAAAGCCCATGGTGTTGAAGGTAGTCTATTGACATGGATAGAGAATTGGCTCACGAGCAAGAAACAGTGACTAAAGATCTGGGTTTCTTTTTCAGGTTGGCAACATGTGACCACTGGGGTTCCACAGGGATCAGTGTTTGGTAGTGCAACTGCTTACAATATATATATTAATGGCTTGCTTCCTCCAAGTCAATCTACTGTACCCACATTCACAGATGGCACAAAAGTAAGTGGAAAGGCAGGTTGTGAGAAGGATACAGATAGTTTGCAGAGAGATATTGGTAGGTTAAGTAGGTAGGCAAAAAGTTGGCAAATGGAATATAATGTGGGAAAATGTTAAGCTGTTCATTTTTGAAGGGAGAACGAGAGTACAGTTTATTTAAATGGCGAAAAACTGCAGAAAGCTGCAATGTAAAGGACTTGGGGTACATCTGCAGGAAGCAAAGAAAGTTAGCACAGAGATGCAGCAGGTAATCAGAAAAGCTAATGGAATGTTGGCCCTTATTTCAAGGGGGTTAGAGTATAAGACCAAGGAAGTCTTACTGCAACTATACAAGGTGCTGGTGAGACAACATCTGGAGTACTATTAGCAGTTTTGGTGCTTTATTTAAGGAAAGATGTTATTTAATTGGAGGCAGTTCAGAAAAGGTTCACCAGGGTGATCTCCAGTATGGAGGGATTGTCTTCTGAGCGAAGATCAAGCAGATTAGGACTGTACTCATTAGAAGAATAAGAGGTGATCTGATTGAAACTTGACAGGGTAAATGCTGAGAGGATGGGAGAGTTTCGGAGCAGACAGCATCATCTCAGAATGAAGGGGCACCATGAGGTGAGGAGAAATTTTTTCTCGGAGGGTTGATCCATTGGAACTCCTGGCTAAAAGGAGCTATGGGGCAAAGTCCTTGTATATTTAATGCTGAGACAGATTCTTGATCAGTAGGGGAATTAAGGGTTATGGGGCAAGGGCAGGAAAGTGGACATGGGGGAAGTACTGGATCAGCCATGATCCTATTGAATGGCAGTGCAGGCTCAAGTGGCTGAAATGGCCTTCTCCTGTTCCTATGTGTTATGGTGTTTTCGTCAGTATTCACGCAGGAAAAAGACAATGTAGTTGAGGAGAATACTGAGATACAGGCTATTAGACTGGACGGGATTAAGGTTCATAAGGAGGAGGTGTTAGCAATTCTGGAAGGTGTGAAAATAGGTAAGTCCCCTGGGCCGGATGGGATTTATCCTAGGATTCTCTGGGAAGCTAGAGAGGAGATTGCAGAGCCTTTGGCTTTGATCTTTATGTCGTCATTGTCTTCAGGAATAGTGCCAGAAGACTGGAGACTAGCAAATGT